GTTTGATTTGCCACATGGAGACATGCCTGCTGACAGTAATGGCGAATTTGCAACCAGTGCTCTTCGACGGTGTTCAGTGGGCGCTTACTCAACCCGGATGCCAGCGTACTTTGACACGCATGCAGATCACATGGCTTCGCCAGTTGGCTGGTGTCAATGCAATCAGAGCGAGGTCGCAGACGTCCACCGAAACGCACCCGAACGTCGCCACACATAAGCGCGTGATCGGAGTCCACGCTGGTGCTCCAAACTGAGCGACAGTTTTGGGCACAGCCTATCCAGCGGTAACTAATCGCAATGTGGTCGATTTGCATCCATGGCTGGTCCGATGCTGGTGGGCGCCAAGTCACCCTTCTGCAGGTGCTACGCTGAAAGCTAGTGATCGTGAGAAAGAGACGAACATCTTCACACAGGTGTAGCAACCGCTCATCGTTAACTTTACGGGAGCCTACACCAGGTTGGCCGCATGGATGAAGCCCATCAGAGGACAATTTGCCGAGTTGAACGTTTAGATCACCAGCAAGCATCACAGCATGTGTTTCTTCAGGAACGAAGGAGATCGTTAAGTTGGGGCTAGAAATCCTCTTTCACCGAACCAGGGCCGCAGTTTGTGGGGGCGTAGGCCGCAATGACAAACAGGCACCGTTTGTCCCCGCGCGACTTCGAAGTCTGGAACGTGCGAGCCAATTTAACGGTGCACATCCAGCTGTTGACTGGGATCCAGTCCATCAAAGCAGCTTCAGTCCAGGGAGTCAAAACAATCCCGACACCAGCTTGACCTGCATTCGAAGCTGCCTCATCGCCAGACAGGTGCAATGAGAATGTGCCGCCAGTGTCGTATGTGGAAGATCGCAAAGTAAGCACGGAGCAGGCAGGTTTCTGATACACAGCAAATATCGATCGATAGGGTCTCTAGTGTGCGGGCAAGTGCTGCCTGTTGGCCAATCTGTAGCAAAGTGCGCACGTTGAGGCATGCCAGTCTTAGAGAGGATCGAGGACTCCAAAAGAAAACGGATGAACTGACGTGGTCCGCTTGGTTGAACAAGGACTGGAGCGGCCCCTTGCGATTGTGTGTGATTTTAAATTAGAAGACAAGCGGAGGAGCAAGTGGAGGGCAAGTATTGGGGGAACGAAAACGGTGAGGGATAAAATTGAAGTTGGAGCGGGACGCTAAGGATGAAAAAGCGCAAAAGGGAATAAGAAGGCGGGAAGGCCCGATCAGCAGCATCCAAAATCCTATCTACCCTGCTAGATGCAGCAGATAGGGCACCGTTGATTGTCGTCTGGGACGGCCAGAGAATCAAGTGATTGCTAGGAGGAAAAGTCACGGTGTTGTATTGTTTGGGCAGGATACTGTCAGAGTGCTCAGACGTAGACAGGAGAACGATTAGGGCTCTCAAGCAAAGCCTTTGAAAAGCACGGTAAAAAGACGAAAACTGGTGCTTTTCAAATTTCTGAAGGGAACTAACTGCTTTAAATTTCTAAAAGCCTTTAATTCAAAAGGTTGACCGCAAGGCAGCAGGGTTTTGGTATTGTTTTATGGAGTATGGAGCCACACTCACTCCAACAGCCAACCTGGAGGGCCAGGAGACTGAGTTTGTCAGGCCTCTAACCAATAGCCAATCTGGTAAGTGGCTCTGAAGATGCAAAGTATCAGCCAGCATAACTCAATGGGGTTGATGAGGAAAGAAAACCATCGCACCGCGTTAAGTTCCAGTCTCATCGCGATGGACGCAGTGGGATCGATTAATGTCCACGGCTGGTGGGCGCCATGTCACCCTCCGGCAGGTAATGTGTCGGAAGTTAGTGCTCGTAAGAAACAAACAAGCATCATCACATATATGAAGTAATCGCTCACCGTTACCATTACGGGAGCATACACCATGTTGGCCACCCAGATGCAACTCATCAGTGGACAATATTCCAACTTGAGCGTTCATACCCCCAGCCAGCCAGGAGCTAGCTCAGTTGGCAATAGAAATCGTCTGGTATCGAGCGTAGGAACCGATGACAAACAGACACCCATTAACTTCGCGCAATTCGGAAGCATTGAAGGAGCCAGTTAGTCGGAACGCAAACATCCGGCTACTGATTGGGATCCAATCAACCAGTGCAGCTTCAGTCCGCGGACAGGGCAATACTAACATGTTTGGCCGGCTGCATCATCTCCGGATAGGCACAATGAAAAAACGCTGTTAGTGTCACGTGAAGGGGATCGCAGAGTGAGCGCAGAGCTAGAGTCTTGCAGTCGGGTTCCCGATAGACAGTAGATATCGAGAATGAGAGGATCTAATGTTCGGGCAACTGCTGCCTGTTGACCGATTGGTAACAATGTGCGTTCGTCGAGGCATGCCAATCTGATGAAGTATGGAGGGTTCCAAACAGAAGCTGATTAACTGGACTTGACTGCTTGGTTAGACAAGGGCTTGTCTATGGGACAGGAATGACGCTCCGTGTTTGCATGTAAGTTGAAATTAGAAGATAAAGGCCTATCAAAGTATGGTGGGCGACGGCCAAGTGATGGGTACAAAAAATTATATTGAAATCAATGTTATTTGGTCTCCGGAAACTAACAGACCACAAATCCAGCATAGCAAGGAGTTCAGTGGAGATTCGTGTGCCCCTACGAACAAGACGGGCCGGTGAAAAACGAAGGCACAGTTTGACTGTTGTTAAATAAATTGACATATCTGTGCTGCCAGCTCGTCGGTATGTCCATGTTAGGTTGCGCATACATTGTCTGATTGAAGTCCGTGGGCACTTTATACATTTATATTATGATGAAAACGCATGGGTAGGAAAGCATCTCATCGCAGTCACCAGATGATTATGCCGACCAAAGTAATCCAGTTTGGACGAACCTACAGGGTGTCAGTCACAGAAAATGTCGGACGCCGCACTACAGTGCGAGTACCATGAGACTAACGCGGGTTGTCGGCAGCGACAAAGTACACCATGTCGCATTGCACAAAGAACTGTCCCATCACGCAGTGAATGTGGTCTATAGCTCGTCTTAAGGCACGTGTGATCTGCGTACCTCCAAGTATGATATGCGCAGTCGACAATCACGCATAACTACTGACAGAATACCTAAGTGAAATCGCGATGCACACTACATCCACCTTAATATGCTTCAACAGAATAGGATCAAATTGATCAAAGTACTAATTCATGGTTCAACCCAGTGAGTCTCCGGCGACTTTACAGTTCCAGTTATTCACGAAGCGAGGGGAAGAACAGTCAATGGAATGCAATTCGACCTGTGCTACCGTAAGGACCAGGCATAGTTGCTGTGCCCTGGGAGATCGCTGTGTCTCACCATCGGTGATTCCGAAATGTTTACTCTACGGGGCGGGCCCGCCTACTGGTAAGTGCTTGGCAACAGGCAAACTGACACTTCACTGGAATGCCCGGTTGAGCTTGAACCGCCTCGTTGCCTAGGTTATGCCTCTTACATTTCCGCTGATCAACTACTTCGGCGTGTTTTATTTACCGATGATGTAGCTAGCGAGACATGAGTCTGAGGAAGCCAGTCGACAATAGGCCAAAAGTGTATGAGGAGCCTAACTAGTGAACTTAGTTGGAGTGGTATGCTTGGGTAACTGTCGGCATAAAAAAGCCGGCGGAAAAGATGGAAAAGGAGTCCAAAGTAGATAGAGTACACACAAAAGGTAGCTACATGCATATGTGAATGACTTTACATGCAGACAGTCCTAGTGAGGAGGTAGGTTACTATACTGTAAACTGCGAATGGGTTCATAAAGTGCCGTGTGCGACATTAAGTTTTACAGGAGCACATCCAAAATTTGTTACACACCTAGGCTCCTAGAAAGGGTCGGTCGTGCTCCAAAAGCGAGAGCAACCGCTCCCATGAGCTGATGTGGGTGAATCCTTCTACATTTAACTCTTAGTAAACATTTACTGATGAAATAGGGCTTACGATGGCTCCCCTATACGCCAAAATAAAAACGAAATATGTCAACATTTGGTAAAAGCGCACTAAAAAGGCAGAATTCGCTTTAAGAAAGGAGTATCATAGGGTATATAGTAGGATTTTCATGCACCATTCTCTCGTGGTTAAGTTAGAAACGGTAGCAGAACGGCTTCGGTAACATCGGAATTAACTTCCGTCGCATACTTTTGGAACATATTTGAGCCTGCGATTCGAATGGTTCTTATAGGTCAATTTGTACTACAGACAAATGAAAGACGAAGCAAAAGTACCAGAATCAGATTGAGAGAAGTATCACAAGTGGTTCGAAGCGGTTAAGAACGAGGAGTAAATACTTACTTTCTTTCGGCCAGAGTGAGTCCAATCAAATCCACCCCGAAAACGCGCTTCATTTGCTTAATATCGGGGAGACAATCGTCTGGCACTAGGTCAGAGCAGCGTTTGTGAGCCTGAAGATAGAGTGAGAAGAAGGAGTGAGTGTCGAAAGAGTGGTGGCCAATGAAACAATGCAATTCAGGATGATGAATGGATTGAATGTCGATTGCACAAGCATGCATAGGGTGGTAATGTGGCCAAAAAGTAAGTTCCCCGGGACGCTATTCAGGTTGCACGCTACGGCAGTGTCCTACAATACATAACAAAGCCGTAGTAAAAGTTTGTAATCTCATGAGCCGGTCGTTAAAAAGCGGAAATAAAGCTGCCTAGAATTTACTCAGTGACCATTAAGATGCAAGTTCTGTAAGCTGGAAATGCACGAAAGCCGAAAGTAGGTAAAAATAGATAATTAACGCATTCAGAACGCTTCCTTGTGTGCCGCAGGGAAAACGAGGTGCACGGTAGAACTTGCGCTGTGTATGTCCAACATATGTGTGCATGCCAGCAACTAGTAAACTCCCTGTAAAACTGGTTCCGAGAAAACCCGTACATCCGCACAAACTGCAAGCATGTGTCCGGTAACAGGTTTTCATGGGTGCAGAACTGCAACCAGATTTTAACATCCTTCAATGTTCCCGTGAGTAATTTCGAGGGTTGCAAATATGCCCAACTGGACAGCAGAACATTAGCGAACTAAGTAAAGTGATAGATGGTGTTTCCCAGTTGTCCCCTTCAAGTTAATACTCGTATAGGGACTAACGTTTTGACAGAGACAAACACATCATGGTGCAATCAACCTTTGCATACGTCGAGCATTGCGTTATCCTACACCTGGTAAACAAGATAAAGTTCTTCTCGGTAAACAGTGACCGAGTGCCTCTAACCAAAGCTATTTATTCAACATTTAAAGTAATCAGTCCCAGCTTTCGTCTTGTTAAAATCTACTTGTTCAGTATCTCTGCGCGCATCGTTGTTTTGGACACGCTTGTGTTATCAGACACTAGCAATGCCTCGCGGACAACGGTAATCAAAGAGCCTTCAAATCTTCAAATAAAAGGGGCTAAGTCACCCGCATAGGATAGAATGACCTGCACAAAGGCCTTGTACCCACTGCCTATCAGATGGAATAAAATCCACTTCTGAAGCCACATAGGGGATTAAAAAGGCGATTTTAGTTTTCGCAACCCTAAGCCAATTTCACTCGCCATAAGCGCATCGCTGTTAATGTAGTTGCGAATCAAGTATTTCTGATTCCCCATTGTCAAATGGATAAGGGTCACCAAGTCGCTGGTGCTCCTGCAACAGCGCTTGGAAGTTGCGGAACGTATGCTACTCCAAAGAGTTTATCCAGAGCTCAGTGTGCCGCCTCGTAACAATCAAGTAGCAACACCACAGTGTCCACATAATTCGGATTAACGAATGTTCACCAGGCAGCGCCCTAATGCCCACAGTGATATTTCGTAAAGAAGCATTTCAAGTTGGAAACCAAGAGAAGATTGAATAAAACGGAAAATTGAGAACTCAGGCGAACGCCGCTTGTTGTCAGAAAGACATCCGACAATTCGCCGTGGACTCCAACGGTGCGTTTGATGTTCGAGTAAGGGGCATGCAGAATGTTTAAACATTTGATGGGGACATCCTTTCAAGCAAGTACGTCGAAGAGGATGGAATGATCATATGAAATATAGGAGCATAGTCGGCCAACACTATGCATGAGGTTGTTTTAACAGCTGTCATCACAAGAAATTCGTATACCTGTGGAGCGAGTGTACTCTGTTGAAAGTTAAACTCAATCCCAGTTTCAGGAGATATATAATTTCGTTCGCTTTCAGGCGTAACATCGAACAACCGGAGAAGTGGACAAAGAGGACTCACCTGAAAACCGCAGTCGGCACACTTAACACCTTGCGCAACGAGACCCCAAATGAAATGAGTGCAAAAGTCACACCAATGAGGACCTCGATAGGTGTGCACCTTGAAGTTATGCTTCCTCCTCTCGGTGTCCGTTGGTAACGTCTGATCTGCAGCCAGGCAAACAGTCGGCAGCCGGTATCGCTCCATCAGATTAATCACTGCTCGGCTGTCATCATCTTTATACTCAGGCGCGTTCGGTAGCGTCCCAAGCAGTTCCGACGAGGAGACAGGCAGGTGGATACCGTTCTTGTTGGTAAAGCATGGGTGTCTTTCGGGTGTTGAACCTGGGGAGACGGTTGACGATGAAGCTTCACTTTTACTCAACAGACTAACGGCATCGTCGCTGCTTGCCACAACCACATGGGTTGCCGAAGAGCTTGAAAATTCGGAGAGGAGCGCAGTGGAAGACGTTGGAATGCCAGGCTTGAGCTCAGAGAACGTGAAACTGTTAAACGTCTTCGGTGGGATACTACTAACAGGGTCTGTATTGCCAGGAATGGGCTTCGATAGCAAAGGAAAGAAAAGGAAACATTTATTCGTAGTAGTTGAGACAGGATATTTACGTAATGTCTGTGAGAAAAGCGATACGAAAAGTAAAATGTAGAATCATCATGGGAACATCCTTTGAAATGCACAGAATATCGAGTTTCTGTCACCAGAGATAATGGAAATCCAGAGGACCGGCTAGGATCCATATATCATGCAGAGTAGTCAAAGGCATAAACATCATCAAATGAGGGAACTGATGATTATTAGAGGAACAAACACAAAAGTGACGACGAACGTAGCCACTGCATTACTCCTAAGCGTGTGTGATGCGGCCGATCCAGAGACCTCAACAAACAAGACGAACGTCAACCAGTCTGGAAGCGTTATTTTAAGGCAAACGTTGTGTGAATGGATTGCGACGTGCAATCACAATGTGGACCGCGATTCGTATTGAAGCGAATTTGGTCAAATCGATCACTAGGACTGTAACTGATGAAGTAGATAGGTATTGGGTGTTGCCCATCCAATGAGCCCACCTGCGACTGATGGCAGGTGCGTGGCAGCGAAGCGTCGGTACCGCGTACCGGCGTCCTGCCGATACCATTTTATGTCCAGTGAGCGAATTGAACAAGGTACACTTCACTAAGAATCGAGGACCACATTGAGACTGCACAATCCAGTCACACAAAAAATACCTCAAAATGACCTCTTCAGTCGGTCCTTACCCGTCGTGATAAGTGTTGTAAGCCGCCACTCGGTGGCTTAGGGGTGGAACTATCCGCTAACCTCCCAAAATCCCCGGGTTCGAGTGCCTGCTATCTCTACCTGGTGGGACAAAACAAGTTCGAAACTGATCGTGGAGTGCAGTGATTTCGAGTGGGCAACATCTATTTAGGTAATGTGCTATTTTCGTTGAATCAAAGTTTGTTCGACAAAACGATTTTCGGAGATTTAAGCTACGCCACAAGTAGAAGCTGCCTATCAGTTGCTGGCTTGCAGAACAACCTCCTCGTGGTGCCAGCTGGGTGGTTCGGGATTTTCCTCTTCCAGCAAATGGTTCCGCGGCCGTGTTCCAGGACGTGGTGGGTTCTCGCCTAGCAAGCGTTCTCCCTATAAAAAGCCACATATGTCCGTTTAACAACACTGTGACGTGGCGGACGTGATTCACCACTAAATAAAGTCACTGCCTCTTGCTTCATCCTGGAGAAGCATTGTATTCTAGCAACCTTATGCTGTACTTCTGGGGAGTATTGGGCCTCTGTTTGACAAATGAACAAACGAAAGGCGCATGAACTGAGCAATCAGTCACCGGCTCCCAATGGACGCGATTCTCTGAATTCGCTCCGCTGCCTTGCGGGCACGCTATTCAGCCAAAGGCTCGGGGTGGTGTCCCCTAAGTCAACACCTTACTTCGGCTTGGGCAACCGGGTAGTATCTCGCCCACTGAGGAAACCATGGACATTGTTGTGTTGTGTTGTGTTTTATTTTACTGTTTCTGTACCTTCATTTGAATTTCATGGTTTCTGATGGCATTATGTCTGTTAGCAGACTTTTGCATGCATATATATATATATATATATATATATATATATATATATATATATATATATATACCAGTTGCTCAATAACGCCATTGAAGTTATTCATTTTACGATGGAATCGGATATAGAAGACCAGCTCTCATTCTTGGATGCGTTAGTTAACAGGACGATTGACGGAGAGTTGCAAACATCGGTTTACAGGAAACAAACACACACCGACCAGATTCTAAACTACTACAGTAATCACCCGAAATGTCACAAAATAAGCTGCGTGCGAACTCTCTTTCGTAGAATTGAAACACAATGCAGCACTCTTGAGGCAAAAGTGAAAGAGGAGATATATCTGTTCAGGTCATTTCATCTAAATGAACATCCACATAGCTTCGTCCGGCAATGTCTAAACAACAAAGATCCGACCTCTCAACCTGCTCAAATGACTACAAAGAGAATCGTTCTACCCTATGTAAAGAACAGTTCCGAGATGATAGCAATATTATTCAAACAGCACGGTCTTACAGTGGCTCACAAACCGACTGCCACATTGAGGAGAACCCTGGCGAAATTCAAAACTAGACCTAGTGCCCACGAAAGACGAAATGTTGTTTACAAGATGCGGTGTCAAGATTGCAGTAAGAATTATGTGGGTCAGATAGGAAAGCGATTGTCAACAAGAATACAAGAGCATAAGAGCTTGTAAGAACCACTACGCTCTCTCACTACTTGCATTACATAAGGATAAAGAAGGACATCGCTTCAATTGGTACAACGCAGAGGTCCAAGCACAAGTAGAAACACGAAAAGAGAGTTCCTCGAAGAATGGCACTCGACGAAGCACTCGATAAACACGCACATCGAGATTGATCTTCTTTACTAAACGTTAAGACGGAGAAAACTAAAACAGCTTGAAAACCGTCGTGGGCAGCTAAACGTGCCGTCAGCAACACAACCGCAACAGCCGGGACAAAACCATCCCACGGATCGTCCGTGTCTATCAGAGAAGTTGAGCAGACGAGTGAAAGTCCCGGGGCACAGATCGAGGAGGTCAATTCAAAAGTCACTTGCTGATCGATCGCAAATCGACGAACAAGTCAGTGGATTACATTTGACCCAGCAACGCACCCCGTTTGATGATTAAATCTATTTTATACCAATTACGAAGCTCGGCGAACAGGTGAACGCAGGAACGATCAACCTGAGCTACCATTGCATCAAGTCATTTCGAACCAAAAGATATGTACGATAAGATTAAAAATTGTGCGTTACTAGGAAATATACACCAATGCATTTATTTAGTTAATCGTGGGAACGAGATAATAATGATTACTCCGGTTGTGTGATAATCCGATAACAATATTCAGAGTACAGTGCTGTGTTCATCCCCGAAAATTTCACAGCGTCGAATATGAAACAACTTCCTGGATTCGAAACTGAAAACTTAATTGCCCATAGCAGTAAGTGGAGCATGAACCCTTGTGATGCAAAACTTGAATCGCTGCGAAACAAGAGTAATCGCGCTTGCGCGGAGGAGTCACAATATGAAGCTTGTCGAAATGCAGTGGAGAACATGTCTTGGAGTTAGGCTAGGTATACAAAATTTATCATCATCAGTACACGTTAGCTGAAGGTGAGAAACACACCTCAGCTAATGTGCCGCAATATAAAAAGATAAGAAATGATGAGAAACTAAAAAACTACACAAATTGCATCACACAAAAAATATGATGCTAAATATTATAGTATGCGTTTTGCATGATCAGGGGATTGACAAAGTAACTCACAACACAAACCAGTGTTACGAGACGGTTTCGCTTGAAACCTTTAAAAAAGTGCACAGGAGAATGACCAGTAGTCAGCTGATGAAATATAAATGAGGACGAGATAGGGGTAGAGCAGGATTATGCTAAGATTCGATCAGAAGAGTCTGCTATGCAGGGCACCGAAGATAACGGTTCAATCCAGTGGTGTCCACAGTGAATTCATGGAGTTGTGCGCAGCAAGTGGAATCCACTCAGTATTTTGTTCGTTCCAATTCCGCTCCACTGCACATAAATTCTAAAGCTGCAGAAAACACTCACACTCGGCGGGCGCTGCAGGTGTGACAGCGGATCCTGCGAAAAACTAGACCCGCAAGAGCACAGCACAGATGTGCAATGAGAATGTGCAAGTAAATTTCGACCACCAACATCTCGAAGATTTAACAGAGTATTCACCAACAACAAGGTGGTAAAATAGTATGACTTGATATCAGCACAAGCAAGCTCAATCAGACAGCCATTGCATATATACGAAACAGTAAGAAATGGCCGCTCTCTTTCGGGAGTCAGAAACAGTGGGAATTTCAGTTGAAGAGCAAAATAAAGAACCCGGTCCAGATCACCCAAAATTATATATGGGATAACCGCCCATCATGAGAACTAAAACGAAATATAGGTTAAATAAAACTAGATTTAACTAAGTTGAAATATAGGTGCCAGGAGATGACTGTTGCAAACAACGGAACAATGGTTCTATACGGGTACTGCAGCTGGACCTCACCGTGGTGCGATGGTTTGGGTGCCTCAGCGACCCACTGAGCTATGCTGGGTGGCGCTTTTGCACCTTCAGATCCACTCATAGCAGACTGATCAATGGGTAGAGGCCAGAAAAACTCAGCCTCTTGGTCCTACAGGTTGGCGGTTGGAATGAGGGTGGCACCTTATTCCTTAAAACGGACTCCTTGTAGCCCAACGCCAAATCCGCTGCCTTGCGGTCAGGTTTTATACCACAGGCTTGGGTTGAGAACCCTAATCGTTCTCCTATTTAGGCCTGAGCAATCTGACAGTATCCTGCTCAAGCAATACTAGGAATTTCTCTTCAAATAATTCCTTGATGCTTTAGCAATTGCAGAGGAGAAACAACAGCGCCTTATCTGTTTCATAGCGCAGGGTGGATGCGGCGTTTGTATGCTACTGCTCAAGTCTACCCGCTTTCTTATTCTCTCTCTTACGCTATTTCACCCTTATCGTTCCGGACCAACTTCACTTTTATTCCTCCACTCTTCAACCACCCAATTTTTAGCCCTCCCCACCTTGCTATGATGGGTATTTATCTCCTAGTTGCAACTCACATGCAAACGCGGAGCGTCACTCCTGTCCTGTCGATAAGCCAATGTCCAACTAAGCGGTCCGAAACAGATCACCGGCTTAAATTTGGAGCCCCGATCTTCCTTCAGATTGGTATGCCTCGTTGCACGCATATTGCTACAGATCGGTCAATATGCAACAGTTACCCGAACATTAGAGACCCTCACGATCGATATCTGCTGCTTATCGGAGACCCGCCGGCAAGACTAGAGCTCTGTGCTCACTTTAAAATCCCTTTCAGACAACACCAGGAATACCTCCTCGTCGCGCCTATCCGGTGACGATGCAACTACGTGCACCGGGTAAGCCTGTGTAGATATTGCCCTGAGTCTCCGGGATGAGGCTGCTC